AACTATCAGTCAGCCATGGAAAAGGTATGGCCATAGAATTAGGAATTACAATACTAGTAATTTAATACGATCTCTATGGGTATGGCATGGTAAAGGTGAAGAACTCTGGCTGACGTGGTGGTGTTGCTGCTGCTTGTGAACAGGGGAACTGCCTGATGGCTGGGAGCAGGCTGAAAATCCTCAGGGAGAAACCTACTTCATAGACCACAAAACAGAACGAATGTCCTGGTTCGACCCGCGTGTGGACGCTCACCTCAGTAAGTAACCTCTGGACCGCAAGCGGACCGCAAATCCTCCCCCCCCTCCAAATCGCTACCTGTGCAACCCTCCAACCAATCAACTCCCTTCACCCCTAAAGTCCCCTGATCACTCACTAGCACTGCACTAATCAAACTGTACACCTTGATCTCTCATACCTGACCCTTGACCCTGTGCCCCCTTAGGGGCAGAGCTCTCATACCTGACCCTTGACCCTGTGCCCCCTTAGGGGCAGAGCTCTCATACCTGACCCTTGACCCTGTGCCCCCTTAGGGGCAGAGCTCTCATACCTGACCCTTGACCCTGTGCCCCCTTAGGGGCAGAGCTCTCATACCTGACCCTTGACCCTGTGCCCCCTTAGGGGCAGAGCTCTCATACCTGACCCTTGACCCTGTGCCCCCTTAGGGGCAGAGCTTTGCCTGTGAGAAGCTACAGTGCCTTCAAAAAGTATTCATACCCCTTGACTTATTCCACGTTTTGTGTTACAGCCTGAATTCAAAATGGATTTAATGTTTTTCTCACCCATCTACACACAATACCCCATAATGACAAAGCGAAAACATGTTTTTAGACATTTTTGCAAATTTATTGAAAATGAAATACAGAAAAATCTAATGTATGTAAGTATTCACATCCCTGAGTCAATACATGTCAGAATCACCTTTGGCAGTGATTACAGCTGAGAGTCTTTCTGGGTAAATCTCTAAGAGCTTTCCACACCTGGATTGAACAATATTTGCACTTCTTGCCATAGATTTTCAAGCAGTTTTAAGTCAAAACTTTAACTAGGCCACTCAGGAACATTCAATGTCGTCTTGGTAAGCAACTCCAGTGTAGATTTGGCCTTGTGTTTTAGGTTACTGTCCTGCTGAAAGGTGAAGTGTCCAAGTGTCTGTTGGAAAGCAGACTGAACCAGGCTTTCCTCAAGGATTTTGCCTGTGCTTAGCTCTATTCCGTTTCTTTTTATCCAAAAAAAAGTCCCCTAGTTCTTGACAATGACAAGCATACCCATAACATGATGCAGCCACCACCATGCTTGAAAATACACTGTACAAAATTATAAACGCAACATGTAAAGCAGGGCTGCCCAGCCCTCTTCCTGGAGATCAACCGTCCTGTGGGTTTTCAGTCCAACCCTAATTTAACACACCTGATTCTACTTATTAGCTGCTCAACAAGACCTTAACTAACTGAATCAGATGCGCTAAATTAGGGTTGGACTGAAAACCTACAGGACAGTAGATCTCCAGGAAGAGTGTTGGGCAGCCCTGATGTAAAGTGTTGGTCCCATGTTTCATGAGCTGAAATAAAAGATCCCAGACATTTTCCATACACACAAAAAGCTTATTTCGCTCCAATTTTGCTAGTGAGCATTTCTCCTTTGCCAAGATAATCCATCCACCTGACAGGTGTGGCATATCAAGAAGCTGATTATACAGCATGATCATTACACAGGTGCACCTTGTGCTGGGGACAATAAAAGGCCACTTTTTTTAAATGTGCTGTTTTGTCACACAACACAATGCCACAGATGTCTCAAGTTTTGAGGGAGTGTGCAATTGGCATGCAGGAATGTCCACCAGAGCTGTTGCTAGAGAATTGAATGTTAATTTCTCTACCATAAGCCGCCTCCAACGTCGTTTTAGAGAATTTGGTAGTACGTCCAACCGGCCTTCCAACCGCAGAACACGCGTAACCATTCCAGCCCAGGACCTCCACATCCGGCTTCTTCACCTGCGGGATCGTCTGAGACCAGCCACCCGGACAGCTGATGAAACCGAGGAGTATTTCTCTCTGTAATAAAAAAACAAAAACATAATTCCACTTTGACTTGATGGGTATTGTGTGGAGGCCAGTGACACACCATCGCAATTTAATCAATTTTTATTACATTTTAGTCATTTAGCAGACACTCTTATCCAGAGCGACTTACAGTTAGTGAGTGCATACATTTTTTTTATTTTCATACTGGCCCCCCGAGGGAATCGAACCCACAACCCTGGCATTGCAAACGCCACGCTCTACCAACTGAGCTACACGGGATTATTCAGGCTGTAACAACAACAAAATGTGGAAAAAGTCAAGGGGTGTGAACACTTTCTGAAGGCACCGTAGTAGCTGGAGGAATGCTTGGCTTGGACAACAGCTGGATGGAGCTGAACCTGGGTTTCAGTGGTGATATCTGAGCATCGCCTAGAAACCCAATCACATGCCTGTCTCTAGATGCCAAGTCTGATTCTAATAACCAATGAGGGTGCCAAGTCTGATTTCAGAAAGCCAATGAAAATTACCAATGATTCTCCTGATTCCTAAATGTGATAGGGTCACTTTCTGCCTTGACAGTGCTCTCGTAGCCTTCCCTGCACGATTGATTTATTGTGTGTGTGGGTGTTTGACATATGCGTCTGTGTGCTTGTATTTGAACTAAAGTCTGTTTTAGTTTATCAGTGTTTTAGTAAGTGATGTGAGGGAAATAGTGAGAGGTATATCTGAGGTGTGTTTATGCGAGGTATGTGTATGATTTGGATTTGGTGTGTCGATAAAGTGTGTGTGTGTGTGAGATGGCGAGAACCAGGAGGGTAGACCATTAGCTCTGGTCAGTCTCAGCAGCACCACCAGTTGGACTACTAATGGGGTCTCCCAGGGCTGATGACCGGGGTCTGATGACAGGGGCCAGGCCAGGGGTCTGATGACAGGGGCCTCTCAGGTCTGATAACGGGGCCATGATTAGGGGTCTGATGACGGGGGCAAGGCCAGGGGTCTGATAACGGGGGCCAGGCCAGGGGTCTGATGACAGGGGCCTCTCAGGTCTGATAACGGGGCCATGATTAGGGGTCTGATGACGGGGGCAAGGCCAGGGGTCTGATGACGGGGGCAAGGCCAGGGGTCTGATAACGGGGGCCAGGCCAGGGGTCTGATAACGGGGGCCAAGCCAGGGGTCTGATGACGGGGGCCAGGCCAGGGGTCTGATAACGGGGGCCAGGCCAGGGGTCTGATAACGGGGGCCAGGCCAGGGGTCTGATGACGGGGGCCAGGCCAGGGGTCTGATAACGGGGGCCAGGCCAGGGGTCTGATGACGGGGGCCAGGCCAGGGGTCTGATGACGGGGGCCAGGCCAGGGGTCTGATGACGGGGGCCAGGCCAGGGGTCTGATGACGGGGGCCAGGCCAGGGGTCTGATGACGGGGGCCAGGGCTGATAAGACAGGGAAGGGTCAAGGGAGCCTCTCTCCTCTCGTCACGTTCCCCAGTTCCTCACTCATTATCTGGGTTATCTGTGGAGCTCCATCTCGCCACAAAACCCTGTCAGGTCCCTAGAGAGATGTGGTAAGAGACTGACTCAGGCAAAACTGCAGAGGAGAATTAAGTGGTGTTTAAAGTGGTGTCAGATTAAAACATGTGAATTGTTTTCTGCCTATAGACTGGTTTAAACCACGAGGAGAGAAACTGATCATAGGGCCCTATAAAATCTGTTTACATTTTTTGCCTAATTTCGTTCAGTTTTCCTGCATTGCCTCCTTCAGAAAGTTGAAGGGAAAATACGAATCCTGATGCATTATTTCTTATGATATTCTTGGGCATATTAATACATATTCCAATACGTTTTTTGGAATTTTTTTGGATTATGTGATTCCGTCCGTTCTCCACATCACAGATTTGATAGGGCCCTTATATATGTTACCCTTGACAAAAACTCCTTTGAAGAATATAGAAAATATTAACTTACAGTTCAATGTCTTTAGTTAATACTGACCTTAAATTATTATGCCTTTTTACAAGAGTTTTAGGCCAGACTTGTGACTCCCTCGCTCCCCCAGCCAGTCGCCCAAACGGGGGTCCTGTTGCACAAGAGGCTGTCTTCGGAGACTGCCTGTGCGTGAGAAGAGAGTGTGAGCGCTTCTGCCTCCCTGGCCCCCGACCACTGTCCACACACACACACACACACATATGCATACACACACACACACACAAATGCATGCACACACACACACACACACACATATGCATGCACACACACACACATATGCATGCACACACACACATATGCATGCACACACACACATATGCACGCACACACACACACATGCACGCACACACACACACATATGCATGCACACACACACACACACTGTCCCCCTTACATGCGTCACTTTCACATTAACTCCCTCAGTTCTCTTATCAAATGTAACACACACTGACAGACATTAACTGGTGGAGTGTGTGTTAAGGAGCTCTTGTTTGGAACAGGGGATGGTGGAGGTTTTAATGCGTTGCATATTTTCGAGAGTGGAAGCGTTTCTCTGTTTTTCCACCGTTTTTTTTTTTTTTTGCTGACCCTGTTGGACAGCTGTTTCTGGGAAGTAAACGAAACAAGAAGGTCTTTGTTGGCAGAGCAGCCCCACTAAGACGAAGTACTTACTGGCTCCCCCCTTTTCCTGCTCTCTCTCTCTCTCTCTCTCTCTCTCTCTCTCTCTCTCTCTCTCTCTCTCTCTCTCTCTCTCTCTCTGCTGATATGGTGGCTGGGAGCTGTGAGGTGGTGCTGGCTCGTCGTCTTGTTGCCCTAATCTATCTGATCATGTGTTTTCCATCATGGTAGTCGGTCGGTGTGACACCCGGTGCTAGCCTGGAAGAGGAGGGTGGGGAGACGGAGAGAGGAAGTCGTGGAGAGGTTAGAGAGGGTGGGGAGACGGAGAGAGGAAGTCGTGGAGAGGTTAGAGAGGGTGGGGAGACAGAGAGAGGAAGTCATGGAGAGGGTGGGGAGACGGAGAGAGGAAGTCGTGGAGAGGTTAGAGAGGGTGGGGAGACGGAGAGAGGAAGTCGTGGAGAGGGTTAGAGAGGGTGGGGAGACGGAGAGAGGAAGTCATGGAGAGGATGGGGAGACGGAGAGAGGAAGTCATGGAGAGGATGGGGAGACGGAGAGAGGAAGTCGTGGAGAGGGTGGGGAGAGAGGTGGAGGAGAAGAGTGAGGGAGGGAGAGAAGAGGAGGGGGGGGGGGGGGGGAACAGGAGACTGCAGAGGAGTGTTATTTTACTTATGGCTAAGGCTGTGTGGAGCACATCTGGCCAGACTGCGGTCTGTTTTCTGCAGCCCCAAACTGCACTCTCTGACAGGGTGTGTCCTGCCATGTCCCAGACCCGATCCTAAAGATGCTGCTCCGTGTGTTTCTGTGTGCAGTTGCATGCATGCCATCCGTCTGTTTGGCCCCTATCCAAACCCAGTGCCTCTACTCGGGCTATTTGGTTTTATAAAAACAAGGAATAATTCCATATTCCCATCATGTAATGAACCCTAGCCCAGGCCTCTTAATTGCTGTAAACGTAATCTATTGGATATGTTTGAATATCTAATGGTGGTTTCCTGTGCAGGTTGACATTTATTGGGATGAGTCTTGTTCTACAGGCAGAACTGAGCGATTTACGCTAGGTGGGCCAGCTGCAAAGTCAAAATTGGCTATATTGTAAAAACATTTGCATTTTTGTTAGGCATTATGGTTAGCAGTGTGGTTAAGGTTAGGTTTAAAATCAGATTTTTTTTTTTTTGTTGCTTTGTGGCTGTGCCAGCCTAGTGACCGCTCTGCAGAGCTTCCTCCAGAATAACCTGCGTTTCCTGTCTGCCTCCTTGACCAAACATGGAGACTGTTGCAACTAACAGCTTTGGAACCAAAATGGCCTCTGGGAATTACATAATTGAGTTTAATAGGAAGATTACGGATGGGTATTTTCCCGAATTGTGAAGTATGTTATGTAACGTTAAGGGGCTCTGAGGAAAACCTTATGGTCCACAAATGTGTTGCTTTATAGAAAAGAATACACTGCATGACAGCTAGGCCTAAAATAGGTTTCTCTCATCAGACCCCTGGCCTTGCCTCTCTATATGGCTAACTTTCCCCCCACACGTTGAGTCTGTGTTGAGGGAAAAGGAGGGTAGGTAAACTTTGCTCTTCATCCAGACTTCAAGTAAACTACAAGTCCAGCTGACAGATGGGGAGAGAGAGAGGCACACTGAACTGCCAAGGGAGAAGGGGGAAGGAGTGTGGAGAGTGAGAGGAGATGGAGGGGAGGGAGGGAGGGAGGGAGAGCGGGAGAGAGAGTCTCCACAGTGAAACCACCAGACTGTCTGCTTTCTGTGCCATGTGCCTTTTTAACTCCACATCTGGCCTTTACTGCTACATTTATGCCATGTGTGATTCGGTTACGTGACACACACACAGGATGACTTTGTGTTCTGGACAATCGTTTAAGAGTTAAAGATTACGTTTTTATCCAATGCTATTGAAAAGGTACTGCTGAATCTGCACTTACGAAGACCTACATTGAATTGCGAATAATCTTGTCATGTAGACGAGTGAATGCAGTGACCAAAGATTGCCTTGGTCAGACATAGTCACATTTCTCCCTCCCATTCAAACCCAAGGCAGGCTCTATCCTGTCTTGTCCTGACCCAAGGCAGGCTCTATCCTGTCTTGTCCTGACCCAAGGCAGGCTCTATCCTGTCCTGTCCTGACCCAAGGCAGGCTCTATCCTGTCTTGTCCTGACCCAAGGCAGGCTCTATCCTGTCTTGTCCTGACCCAAGGCAGGCTCTATCCTGTCTTGTCCTGACCCAAGGCAGGCTCTATCCTGTCTTGTCCTGACCCAAGGCAGGCTCTATCCTGTCTTGTCCTGACCCAAGGCAGGCTCTATCCTGTCTTGTCCTGACCCAAGGCAGGCTCTATCCTGTCTTGTCCTGACCCAAGGCAGGCTCTATCCTGTCTTGTCCTGACCCAAGGCAGGCTCTATCCTGTCTTGTCCTGACCCAAGGCAGGCTCTATCCTGTCTTGTCCTGACCCAAGGCAGGCTCTATCCTGTCTTGTCCTGTACAGTAACTAAATACTGTCTGCTTGTTGATAGGGCTGTGGCGGTCATTACATTTCGTCAGCCGGTACCCGTCACGCAAATAACTGCCGGTCTCACGGTAATTAACCGTTAATTAACATAAACACGTTTAGCATCTTCGAGCTTCCACGCATAGCCTACAAGTCACTGATGCAGACCTTTGGAACATCTACATTTTTAAAAAGTCTAATAAATCCATGTAATATAGCCTACACCATCACAATAAATCCATTATTTATTTTAGGCAGGTCTAAAGAAACATAATGATATGAGGAAAATGTAGCCTATTTCAGAAGAACAGAATAGCATACTCTGAGTTGTCCTTATGTTATGCCCTGATCTGGCTATGCCATATGGCTGTGGGCTACAATAGTTCATTTAGCAGTCAAGATTTGCTTAGAATTCCCATGGCATTATTTTATAGTAAGAAGAATACAATTGAACATAGCTGAATAAAATATCAATAATATTTTCCCCAAACGATTTCAGAGGGAATGCGCACATGCAGCTATTCTGTGTTGAGCGGTTAACAAAGTGCTCATTTTAAACAGGTCCTTCTATATGCTTAAAGCTGCAATATGTAACTTTTTGGGCGACAGACAAAATTCACATAAATGTGAGTTATAGGTCTGTCATTCTCATTGAAAGCAAGTCTAAGAAGCGGTAGATCTGTTCTATGTGCACTATTTCTATGCTTCCAGTTAAGTTTCGTTTTTGCATCTTACTTTCGGTTTTGTACACCAGCTGAAAATACAATATTTTTGGTTATGGAAAATATATTTCACAGCTGTTTAGATGATACAATGATTTTCTACACTATATGCTTGTTTTGTCATATAAACTGAAATTAGGCAAACTATTAGAATTTTAGCAACCAGGAAATGGCGGGGAGATTTCTGCATAGTGCAAACCTTAGGTAATACAGTGCCTTGCAAAAGTATTCATCCCCCTTGGCGTTTTTCCTATTTTGTTGCATTACAACCTGTAATTTTAATGGATTTTTATTTGGATTTCATGTAATGGACATACAGAAAATAGTCCAAATTGGTGAAGTGAAATGAAAAAAATAACTTGTTGAAAAAAAACATTTAAAAAAATAACGGAAAAGTGGTGCGTGCATATGTATTCACCCCCTTTGCTATGAAGCCCCAAAATAAGATCTGGTGCAACCAATTACCTTCAGAAGTCACATAATTAGTTAGATTGCACACAGGTGGACTTTATTTAAGTGTCACATGATCTGTCACATGATCTCAGTGTATATATACACCTGTTCTGAAAGGCCCCAGAATCTGCAACACCACTAAGCAAGGGGCACCACCAAGCAAGCGGCACCATGAAGACCAAGGAGCTCTCCAAACAGGTCAGGGACAAAGTTGTGGAGAAGTACAGATCAGGGTTGGGTTAATTTTTTTTATCAGAAACATTGAAAATCCCACGGAGCACCATTAAATCCATTATTAAAAAATGGAAAGAATATGGCACCACAACAAACCTGCCAAGAGAGGGCCGTCCACCAAAACTCACGGACCAGGCAAGGAGGGCATTAATCAGAGAGGCAACAAAGAGACCAAAGATAACCCTGAAGGAGCTGCACAGCTCCACAGCGGAGATTGGAGTATCTGTCCATAGGACCACTTTAAGCCGTACACTCCACAGAGCTGGGCTTTACGGAAGAGTGGCCAGAAAAAAGACATGGCTTAAAGAAAAAAATAAGCAAACACGTTTGGTGTTCGCCAAAAGGCATGTGGGAGACTCCCCAAACATATGGAAGAAGGTACTCTGGTCAGATTAGACTAAAATTGAGCTTTTTGGCCATCAAGGAAAACGCTATGTCTGGCGCAAACCCAACACCTCTCATCACTCCGAGAACACCATCCCCACAGTGAAGCATGGTGGTGGCAGCATCATGCTGTGGGGATGGTTTTCATCGGCAGGGACTGGGAAACTGGTCAGAATTGAAGGAATGATGGATGCCGCTAAATAAAGGAAAATTCTTGAGGGGAAACCTGTTTCGGTCTTCCAGAGATTTGAGACTGGGACGGAGGTTCACCTTCCATGGCCTAGTCAAAGCCCAGACCTCAATCCAATTGAGAATCTGTGGTATGACTTAAAGATTGCTGTACACGGCAGGTAGCTTAGTATTTAAGAGCGTTGTGCCAGTAACCGAAAGATCGCTGGTTCTAATCCCAGAGCCGACTAGGTGAAAAATCTGTTGATGTGCCCCTTGAGCAAGGCACTTAACCCTAATTGCTCCTGTAAGTCGCTCTGGATAAGAGTGTCTGCTAAATGACTAAAATGTAAATGTACATCAGCAGAACCCATCCACCTTGAAGGAGCTGGAGCAGTTTTGCCTTGAAGAATGGGCAAAAATCCCAGTGGCTAGATGTGCCAAGCTTATAGAGACATACCCCAAGAGACTTGCAGCTGTAATTGCTGTAATTGGGGATACTCAGTCACTACAAAGATACAGGCGCCCTTCCAAAATCAGTTGCCGGAGCGGAAGGCCAATGGCGATTTTAAAACAGTTACAGAGTTTAATGGCTGTGATAGGAGAAAACTGAGGATGGATCAACAATATTGTAGTTAAGCCACAATACCACCCTAAAGGACAGAAGGAAGCCTGTACAGATTAAAAATATTCCCGAAACATGTTAGCAAAAAATGTGGCAAATAAACGTTTTGTCCTGAATACAAAAGCGTTATGTTTGGGGCAAATCCAGGTCGGAGGGCCTAGGTATGTCGGAGGGCCAAGGTATAGCGTAGCCAACAGGCGAAGGGACTGCTTAATAAACGACCTGTTGGGGCAGGAAGTGTGGAAGACCAGGAAACATGAGCTGCGATGGGTGTACACACCCCAGAGCTGTGCTGCTGCTGGCTCACACTGGAGCAGGTAATGGGGGGGCTGGTGAACCGTCTGAGAGACTTTGTAGAGTGGTGGTGGTGCGTCGGCGGGTTCTATGCATTCGCATTGAATCTGAGTCGGACATAGGGGCTGGCTAATTATTAACGACCGCAAAGACGACTCATTACGGCTTGATAATGATTTAATAGTCTTCAGTAGAATTAACTGATGATTAACTGGCTGAAGACTGTAGTCATGTCCCCCAAATCAACGCTCTCTGATTTTATAAAAAGAAATATTAGATGCTATTGCAGGGGGTTAGTCTAATCTGACCATCTGCTTTCTCTCTTAAGCACAGGAGCAGTAGTCTATCCATATGACTGGTGTGCTTTTAGAGTACGTGGCTGAGGCTCTGTTTACAGTGAGAGCTAGGTCAGGTTGTTTCTGAGTGTTTTTGGCAGACTGTCATCTCTGCTCACTGTTTACATCTGAGGTTGTACTGGTGTGTGTGTGTGTGTGTGTGTGTGTGTGTGTTTGTAGGGTCATGCAATTTTGTATGACAGTAAAACTTACCGTATGCTTCCCAGTATTATGATAATTTCTTTTATACTTTTGTTCGTTTCGGTGTTCGGCAGGTATTTTTTCGGCTGTTCGTGCGCACACGTTTTTAGGCAAGCTGAAGTTAGGTAGCCGAAGTCCACGCCCCTTCGTCGTTGATTGGCCAACAGTACTACTCATAGTAGTACGGTTTTATGCATATTTTTTTCCCTCGAGAAACACAAACATCTTAGTTTGATGTAAAATTGCATGACTAAGACCTCTGCAAAAAACGTTAAAATGAATGAAAGATTTATTGATTTATCTTGAATTAATTCAGACAATTTTGAGGAAGGGTTTCTGGCTATGTTGCTACGGTGGCTCAAGGGGGACAAACAACAGTAATATTGCCTCCTCTTTAGATCTTTAGGGAGTATGTGAGCAGACGTTGGCTTAGCCTAGCCATGTTCTGCTATGACCGCGGTCACCATAGTAACCGTTCGAAAAGCACTTTTTTTTTTTAAAGCTGTACATTTTCTCCTCACTTCCTCACCATTCATGATTTGAAATGCAATCAAGCATTTTAGTTTTAAAATAACAAAGCGACCCTTGAATAATTAGCATAAACAATAAATAAACCGTTCCACTGTTTTTAGTCTTTGCTGTAATAAAGGCTCTACAAAAAAAAAAAAAAAACGTACAAGAGAAAAATATTGTAATCTAACAGCACCTGTTTGTCACACTCAATACGCACGCAGAACTTGGTCCTTAACTTATTTTTCTTGATCTCTAGTATTTTCCACAATTAGTCAAATATATCCCACACATCTGACTTCCCCCGTTACGAGTTTATTTGTCACGTCCTCTGCATCCATTATGCTGTTACGGTGTCCGGAGTTGTTATAACCAATTTATTGATGTGATTTATGATAGGCTATAGGTCAGGCCCCATTGGTCACGTAAAGAGAGCAAAGGTTGAGGGAATAGGGAATGTTTTTCCTAAACAAATGAGAGATATCGGTAACAGAACTTTTCAGTCAGAAATGTCTGTAATTATGTTCCAGCTTCAGCAACACGGACAGCGCGATAAAGACTGTTGATGTTCTGTGGTGGTCGCTGCAGTAGGGAGGAGAGAGAGACAACGGGTGATGATGTTCTGTGGTGGTCGCTGCAGTAGGGAGGAGAGGGAGAGAGACAGCGGGTGATGATGTTCTGTGGTGGTCGCTGCAGTAGGGAGGAGAGAGAGACAACGGGTGATGATGTTCTGTGGTGGTCGCTGCAGTAGGGAGGAGAGAGAGACAACGGGTGATGATGTTCTGGTGTGGTCGCTGCAGTAGGGAGGAGAGAGAGACAACGGGTGATGATGTTCTGTGGTGGTCGCTGCAGTAGGAGGAGAGAGAGACAACGGGTGATGATGTTCTGTGGTGGTCGCTGCAGTAGGAGGAGATAGAGACAACGTGGTGATGATGTTTCTGTGGTGGTCGCTGCAGTAGGGAGGATAGAGAGACAACGGGTGATGATGTTCTGTGGTGGTCGCTGCAGTAGGGAGGAGAGAGAGAGACCAGCGGGTGAATGATGTTCTGTGGTGGTCGCTGCAGTAGGGAGGAGAGAGAGAGACAACGGTGTGATGTTCTTGGTGGTCGCTGCAGTAGGGAGGAGAGAGAGAGACAACCGGGTGATGATGTTCTGTGGTGGTCGCGTGCAGTAGGGAGGCGAGAGAGAGACAACGGGTGATGATGTTCTGTGGTGGTCTCTGCAGTAAGGAGGAGAGAGAGAGACAACGGGTGATGATGTTCTGTGGTGGTCTCTGCAGTAAGGAGGAGAGAGAGAGACAACGGGTGATAGTCACACAGTCGCTCGCTGTCTTTTTTTTTTTTTTTTTTTTGTCTGAGCCGGGTGGCACAATCAAATCGGACTACCCTCTAGTCGGACTACCCTCTAGTCGTTTGTGTGTCTTAATTATTTCATCAAACAGTGCGCTTAAAGCATCAGACAAGCTCAGTGCATATAGTTGATTTGATTAAAAACATTTGATGTGTCTATATATTGAAAAATACACGTTTTCTACCTATCGATTGGTTGAAAGAACAGACGACCCTCGGTCGACCAGGAATGCCCATCAGTCCCGTCTTCGGTCAGCTGGGTGAGCCATCTCTACACTGGACTCACTAGCTGGACTCTGGCTCCTTCCCAGAGCAGATGTGGAACTAGTGAAGTGAGCTGAGCTCAGAGTTCAGAATCAGCTCCTGTTCACCTGATTGACTAGACCTAAGAGAAATGTCTGTAGTAGGACTGTGTACATATCAGAAACAGTCACACTATCACATTACTATCAGCCTAAAAAAAGAGACAAAAAGCCTCACCTTTTTGTCTCTGTTCTCCACTGGAATTGTTGTTTCTAGCCCTAATCACAACCCCCTCCCTTCTCTCTGTCTCTCCTTCCACAGTGATGTCCCAACACCACCACCAGCAGCACCTGCAACACACCCAGCAACAGCAGCCCCAACAGGCCCAGGCCCAAGCCTTGGGTTCGCCTGGCTCCCTCCCCCAGCAGCAGAGCTCCCAGGCTGGGATGATGAGCCTGTCCAGTCCCCTGGGCGTGGTGGTCAGTGCCCAGCAGAAGATGAGGCTGCAGCGCATCCAGCTGGAGAGAGAGAGGATCCAGAGACGCCAGGAGGAGCTCATGAGACAGGTGAGGCAGTCTAGCCCTTCAACACTAGCCTTTCAACACTGGGCCCTCAACACTAGCCCTTCAACACTAGCCCTTCAACACTAGCCCTTCAACACTAGCCCTTCAACACTAGCCCTTCAACACTAGCCCTTCAACACTAGCCCTCAACACTAGCCCTTCAACACTAGGCCCTCAACACTAGCCCTTCAACACTAGCCCTTCAACACTAGGCCCTCAACACTAGGCCCTCAACACTAGGCCCTCAACACTAGCCCTTCAACACTAGGCCCTCAACACTAGCCCTTCAACACTAGCCCTACAACACTAGGCCCTCAACACTAGGCCCTCAACACTAGGCCCTCAACACTAGGCCCTTCAACACTAGCCCTTCAACACTAGGCCCTCAACACTAGGCCCTCAACACTAGGCCCTCAACACTAGCCCTTCAACACTAGGCCCTCAACACTAGCCCTTCATCACTAGGCCCTCAACACTAGCTCTTCAACACTAGCCCTTCAACACTGGCCCTTCAACACTAGGCCCTCAACACTAGGCCCTCAACACTAGGCCCTCAACACTAGGCCCTCAACACTAGCCCCTCAACACTAGCCCCTCAACACTAACCCCTCAACACTAACCCTTCAACACTAGGCCCTCAACACGAGAACTTCAACACTAGACCTTCAACACTAGGCCCTCAACACTAGGCCCTCAACACTAGCCCTTCAACACTAGCTCTTCAACACTATGCCCTTCAACACTAGCCCTTCAACACTAGGCCTCAATGCCCAGCTGCTCAAACCTAGAGTATTTATCCTTTAATTAGGCAGGGGAATTCTCATTGAGACCAAAGTGTCTTTTGCATTACAAAAGAGCCAACAATACCACACAGACAGAGAGCCTGCTCTATTCTCAGACCTCCAGTCCACGTTCTGTTTATCCCACACCTACAAGCCGCTGGAGACTGTCTGGAGAGACCCGATACACCACTGGGAGACCCGATACCCCACTGGGAGACCTGATACACCACTGGGAGACCCGATACACCACTGGGAGACCCGATACACCACTGGGAGACCCGATACACCACTGGGAGACCCGATACACCACTGGGAGACCCGATACACCACTGGGAGACCTGATACACCACTGGGAGACCTGATACACCACTGGGAGACCTGATACACCACTGGGAGACCTGATACACCACTGGGAGACCTGATACACCACTGGGAGACCCTGATACACCACTGGGAGACCGATACACCAACTGGGAGACCTGATACACCACTGGGAGACCTGATACACCACTGGGAGACCTGATACACCACTGGGAGACCTGATACACCACTGGGAGACTGATACACCACTGGGAGACCTGATACACCACTGGGAGACCTGATACACCACTGGGAGACCTGATACACCACTGGGAGACCTGATACACCACTGGGAGACCTGATACACCACTGGGAGACCTGATACACCACTGGGAGACCTGATACACCACTGGGAGACCTGATACACCACTGGGAGACCTGATACACCACTGGGAGACCCGATACACCACTGGGAGACCCGATACACCACTGGGAGACCTGATATAAACCCTAATCAATCCTTATCTGCTCTTTCCTCTTAGAGAGACGCCTTGACACGATTTGTATTCAGGCTAAACACACACTAGCATGTATGCATTCAAACACACACGCACACAAACACGTTTTGTTCTATCCCCGTGGGGACCTAAAACTGATTTCCGTTCAAAATCCTATTTTCCTAACCCAAACACTAAACTTAACTCCTAAACCTAACCACTAACCCCTAACCCTAATTCTAACACTAATTGTAACCCTAACCCTATCCCCTAAGCTTAAAATAGCCTTTGTCCTAATGGAGACATGGGAATTGTCCCAACGAGGGAGAATATTTCTTGTATTACTATCCTTTTAGGGACTTTTGTGTATTCTAGGTCCCTTCAAGAAGAACACACACACACACACACAAACACAAACAAGCCAGCACATCACGTGCCTCCTCCGAGCACAATGAGTAAAGGCTTTCCCAGAAGACTCTCAGAAAGACAGCCAATGGAGCTCTTAGCTGGACAGTAGTTTGTTTTGAGCGCAGGCTTTGGGCCTTTCTATGGAGTAGGGGGGGGTGGGGAGTAAACATTAGCGCCCACTAGTGGCCGAAGGGGGTAGCTACCAGCGACTCTATTCTCTCTGTTATTCTAGACCACCTGCTCATCCACTTACAGGAAGGCAGGCTCACATAGAGAGAGAGAGATGCACACCAGTTTGTTTACCGCCTTTTATTGTCCAGCCAGTGACCTCATCCAGGAAGTGTTTATCTCACCCAGAACTCCATGGCTCTGTCGGCCCATCCTGAGCACTTAGCAGCACTGGCTGGGGTCTGTGTGGTTGGCCAGGGGTAGGGGAGAAGCGTTGTTAGTGTGTGTTATAGGGCTGTGTGTGAGTGTGTTATAGGGGTGTGTGTGTGTGTGTGTGTTATAGGGGTGTGTGTGTGTGTGTGTTATAGGGGTGTGTGTGTTATAGGGGTGTGTGTGAGTGTGTTATAGGGCTGTGTGTGAGTGTGTGTGTGTTATAGGGGTGTGTGTGAGTGTGTGTGTGTGTTATAGGGGTTGTTTTTTTAGGGTGTTGGTTTGTGTGTGTGTGTTTTTTTGTTGGTTGTTTGAGTTTGGCATGTGGTTGTTTGGGGGTGTGGGTGTGGGTAGGTGTGTGGTGGGTGTTTGGGTGTGTGTGGTGTTTCGGGGTGTGTGTGTGTTTGTTTTGGGGGTTGGTGTGTGTTGTGGTGGTGGCGTGTGTGTGTTTTTGTTGTGGGTGGTGTTGGGGTTTTGTGTGTGTGTTTTGTTTGTTTGTTGGTGTTTGGTTGTTTTGGTTTTTGTTTTTGGTTGGTGTGTTTGTGTTTTTTGGTTGTTTTTTTTGTGTGTGTTGTGTTTTTGTTTATTGGTTTATTGTTTGGTGTTTTGGGTGTTTGTGTTTTGTTTTTTGTTGTGATGTTTTATGTGTTGTTTTGGTGTTTTTGTTTTTTTTTTGTTCGTTTTGTTTTTTGTATAGGTTTTTAGTGTTTGTTTGTTTTTTGTTTTTTTTTTTGTGTTGTTTTTTTTTGGTTAGTTTTTTTTTTTCGGGGTGGGGGGGGTTTGGTTTTGCTGTTTTTTTGGGGGATGTTTTTTGTTGTTGTTTTTTTTTGTTTTTGTTTGTGTTGGTGTGTGTGTTTTGTGGGGGTTGTTTTGGTTTGTGAGTGTTTTGTGTTTCGGTTTTTTGGGGGTTTTGTTGTTTCGTGTTGGAGGGGGTGAGGGGAGTTTTTTTTGTCGGGTTATGGGGGTTTGTTCTTTTTGGTTGGTGTTTTTTTTGCTTTTGCTTTTTTTTTTGGGTTTTTTGTTATCTTTTTGTGTTTTTTGGTTTGTTTGTTATTTTGTTTTGTTTTGTGGGGGGGTGGGGGGGTTGTGTTGTGTTTGTTTGGTAGGTGGGTTTGTGTTTAGGGTTGTTGTTTGTGTGTTTTTGGGTGTTAAGGGTGGTGTGATGTTGTGTTTGTGGTTGTTGTGTGTTTTGTGGTTTGGGGTGTGTGTTGAGGTGGGTTGTGTGTGTGTTTTGGGGTTGTGTTGTGTGTTTTGGGGTTTTGTGTAATATACATATTCTGACAGTAGCTTCTCTAATTTCCGCTGTCCTCTCCTAGACGATCTCGCTGCTCTGGTCTGTGTGACGGTCTGGAGGTAGATCCCTTTAACCTGTCTGTTCACTACCTTATATACAGTGAGAGAAAAAAAGTATTTGATCCCCTGCTGATTTTGTACGTTTGCCCACTGACAAAGACATGATCAGTCTGTAATTTTAATGGTAGGTTTATTTGAACAGTGAGAGACAGAATAACAACAAAAAAATCCAGAAAAAACGCATGTCAAAAATGTTATAAATTGATTTGCATTTTAATGAGGGAAATAAGTATTTGACCCCTCTGCAAAACATGACTTAGTACTTGGTGGCAAAACCCTTGTTGGCAATCACAGAGGTCAGACGTTTCTTGTAGTTGGCCACCAGGTTTGCACACATCTCAGGAGGGATTTTGTTCCACTCCTCTTTGCAGATCTTCTCCAAGTCATTAAGGTTTTGAGGCTGACGTTTGGCAACTTGAACCTTCAGCTTCCTACACAGATTTTCTATGGGATGAAGGTCTGGAGACTGGCTAGGTCACTCCAGGACCTTAATGTGCTTCTTCTTGAGCCACTCCTTTACATTTTCATTACATTTACGTCATTAGCAGACGCTCTTATCCAGAGTGACTTACAGTTAGTGAGTGCATACATTATTTTTTTATTTTCATATTGGCCCCCCCTGGGAATCGAACCCACAACCCTGGCATTGCAAATGCCATGCTCTACCAACTGAGCTACATCCCTGCCGGCCATTCCCTCCCCTACCCTGGACGACGCTGGGCCAATTGTGCGCTGCCCCATGGGTCTCCCGGTCGTGGCCGGCTACGACAGAGCCTGGATTCGAACCAGGATCTGTAGTGGCACAGCTAGCACTGCGATGCATTGCCTTAGACCACTGCGCCACTCTGTGTGTTTTGGGTCATTGACCACTGCCTTGGCCGTGTGTTTTGGGTCATTGTCATGCTGGAATACCCATCCACGACCCATTTTCAATGCCCTGGCTGAGGGAAGGAGGTTCTCACCCAAGATTTGACGGTACATGGCCCCGTCCATCGTCCCTTTGATGCGGTGAAGTTGTCCTGTCCCCTTAGCAGAAAAACACCCCCAAAGCATAATGTTTCCACCTCCATGTTTGACGGTGGGGATGGTGTTCTTGGGGTCATAGGCAGCATTCCTCCTCCTCCAAACACGGCGAGTTGAGTTGATGCCAAAGAGGTCCATTTTGGTCTCATCTGACCACAACACTTTCACCCAGTTCTCCTCTGAATCATTCAGATGTTCATTGGCAAATTTCAGATGGCCCTGTATATGTGCTTTCTTGAGCAGGGGGACCTTGCGGGCGCTGCAGGATTTCAGTCCTTCACGGCGTAGTTTGTTACCAATTGTTTTCTTGGTGACTATGGTCCCAGCTGCCTTGAGATCATTGACAAGATCCTCCCGTGTAGTTCTGGGCTGATTCCTCACCGTTCTCATGATCATTGCAACTCCGCAAGGTGAGATCTTGCATGGAGCCCCAGGCCGAGGGAGATTGACAGGTCTTTTGTATTTCTTCCATTTGCGAATAATCACACCAACTGTTGTCACCTTCTCACCAAGCTGCTTGGCGATGGTCTTGTAGCCCATTTCAGCCTTGTGTAGGTCTACAATCTTGTCCCTGACATCCTTGGAGAGCTCTTTGGTCTTGGCCATGGTGGAGAGTTTGGAATCTGATTGATTGATTGCTTCTGTGGACAGGTGTCTTTTTATACAGGTAACAAGCTGAGATTAGGAGCACTCCCTTTAAGAGTGTGCTCCTAATCTCAGCTCGTTACCTGTATAAAAGACACCTGGGAGCCAGAAATCTTTCTGATTGAGATGGGGTCAAATACTTATTTCCCTCATTATAATGCAAATCAATTTATAACATTTTTGACATGCGTTTTTCTGGATTTATTTGTTGTTATTCTGTCTCTCACTGTTCAAATAAACCTACCATTAAAATGATAGACTGATAATTTCTTTGTCAGTGGGCAAACATACAAAATCAGCAGGGGATCAAATACTTTTTTCCCTCACTGTAAGTGTTGTGTTCAGTCCATACAGCTCCAATGTCACACTAATTGACATTGTTATAAAGCTATTCAGCGGCCTGGGCGGAAAGCCCCTTCCCTTTACAGATACATCCAGCCATTTGTTATACTCACTGCCCATCAGATGAATGGGAAGCTGGTGTTTCTCAGGTGACTGTGCACTGGGAGTTAGTTGAGCCCCAGGCGGGGAGACTGACACGACCCAACCCTAGAAACCGTGTCAGGGCAGTGGCACAGGTGAAGGGTAGTCCGCCCCCCACTCCCTCCCTCCTAGTCCCACCAGTGTAGACCTGTCTTTGTGTGTGTGGGTAAGATTATCTTATGGCAGAAAGCACAAACCTGTCACTTATTCCGTGGCCCACATCCTTTAAGACTATTAGCCAATCCCGTCCTGAGGCGTGTGTGTGTGTGTGTGTGTGTGTGTGTGTCTTCACATCAGATAATTGCTGTGTAATTCACACACTCACTACCATATTATTAAGGCCTGAAAATACACTACTTGGTTAATTTTCCTGGAGTAGTTGGAAGAAGCAGATTCTGTTATGGAGTCAGCAAATGTTTCTCCTCAAGTGCAGTAGCACACAATGTGTTCTTGAACAATAATGAACATAGTTTCAGTAATCTTGAATCTCTCCTCCTCCCCCTCCTCTCTCCCCTCTTCTCTCACCCCTCCCTCTCTTCTCCTCTTCTCTCTCCCCCTCCGCTCCTCTCCATCCCCCGTGCTGCCTATTGCTTTCCCCTAGGAGGTGGCGCTGTGTAGACAGCTCCCCTTGGACTCTGAGAGCATGGCACCAGTGCCCACCCCCTGTGGAAACCCTGCCCAGCCCATGACCCAGGGTAACATGCCCACCAACGGGTCCGACCCCTTCCTCAACAGGCAAGTGCACTCCTGACTCCTCCCATATGTTACTCAACTCAATTCAAGGGCTTTATTGGCATGGGAAACATATGTTTACATTGCCAAAGCAAGTGAAATAGATCATAAACAAAAGTGAAATAAACAATAAAAAACATTAAAAATTACACTCACAGAAGTTCCAAAGGAATAGAGACATTTCAAATGTCATATTATCTGTTACAGTGTGGGGGCCCCCCCCAAAACAACAAAAAAAAAGGGGGGGGAAGGGGGTTTTACCCCCCCCCCCCCCCCCCCCCGGGGGGGGGTTGAGGGGGGGAAAAAAAAAATTTTTTGGGGAAAACCCACAAAAATTTCCCCCCCCCCCCAAAAAAAATTGGGGGGTTTTTTTTTTTTAAAAAAAGGGGGGGGGGGTTTTTTTTTTTTCCCCAAAATTTTGGGTTTTAAAACCCCCCCTTTTTTGGGGGGGAAAAAAAAATTTTTTTTTTTTTAAAAAAATTTTAAAGGAAAAAATTTTTTTTAAAAAGGGGGGGGTTTTTGGAAAAAAATTTTGGGCCCCAAAAAGGAAATTGGGAAAAAAAAATTTTTTTTCCCCCCCCCTTTAAAAAAAAAAATTTTTTTTTTTCCCCCCCCCCCCCAAAAAAAAGGGGGGGGGAAAAAAAAAACTTTTTGGGGGGGGGGGGGGGCCCCCCCCCCCCCGGGCCCCCTTTGGGGCCCCCAAGGGGGGGAACTCCCGGGGGGCCCCAAATTTTCCCCCGGGAAAAAAAAAGGGGGCCCCAAAAAGGGGGTTTTTTCCCCAAACCCCCCCTTTTTCCTCCCCAAAAATCCCCTTGAAAAAAAAAATAAAAAAGGGGGGGGGGGGAAAAAAAAAAAATTTAAAAAAAAATTTAAAAAAAAAAAAAAAAAGGGAAAAAAAAAAAAAAAAAAAAAAATTTTTTTAAAAAAAAATTTAAAAAAAAGGGAAAAGGGGGGGCCCCCGGGGGGGGGGGGGCCCCCCCAAGGAGGAAAAAAGGGGGGAGAGAAAAGGGGGGGGGGGGGGAAAAAAAAAAAAAAAATTCCCCCCCCCCCTTTCCCCTTTTTAAAAACCCCTTTTTTTTTTTAATTTTGGGGGGGGGGGGTTTTTTTTTTTTTGGGGGGGTTTTTTTTTGGGGTTTGGGGGGGGGGGGGTTTTGGGGGGTTTTTTTTTTTTTTTTAAAAAAAGGGGGGGGGGAAAAGGGGGGGGGGGGTTTTTTTTAAAAAACCCCCCAAAAAAGGGGTTTTTTTTTTTGGGGGGGAAATTTAAAAAAAAAAAAAAAAAAATTTTTTTTTTTTTAAAAAAAATTTTTAAAAAAAAAAAAAAAATTTTTTTTCCCCAAAAACCCCCTTTTTTTTTTTTTAAAAAAAAATTAAAAGAAATTTTTTAAAAAGAAAAAAAATTATAAAAAAATTTGGCACAGGGCAAAACCCCCTTGGAACCTGCCAGCCATGACCAGGGTAACATGCCCACCAACGGGTCCGACCCCTTCCTCAACAGGCAAGGCACTCTGACTCCTCCATATGTTACTCAACTCAATTCAAGGGCTTTATTGGCATGGGAAAACATATGTTTACATTGCCAAAGCAAGTGAAATAGATCATAAACAAAAGTGAAATAAACAATAAAAAACATTAAAAATTACACTCACAGAAGTTCCAAAGGAATAGAGACATTTCAAATGTCATATTATGGCTGTGTACAGTGTTGTAATGAATCTCTCATCTGTGGCTTATATATCTATCCGAGATGAGCAGAGTAGGAGGAGGAGAGAGAGTACGAGAGAGAGACGCGGAGAGAATACGAATATCTACACATTACCCTCAGTTCTCCCTTCTTTTCTCAACACCCATCTCACACTCTGCTCTCTCCCTCTCTCCTTCTACTCTCAGCCAGTATTATGCTTTCAGTTTTAAAGATGGGTGTTGGTGTGTGATCCAGTTGGTTATTAGACGGGATCTGTTTATTACTAAGGTTTTTCTTCCTCTGTGATCCACAGTGGTCACTTCCAGCACTCCCGGGAGCAGAGACAAGAAAGTGGCTGGGGCTGGGTGTTACAGCATCCCACACCCCAGAGGACTTCATTAATAAACATGGAGGAGATGGACAAAGTGTAGCATAACTTCTCAATACAGTGTCTCTAGAAATCTTAGACTCAATATATATATATATATATATAATTATATATTATATATATGATATTATAGATATAGAATTATATATATATAGACATTTATATATCATAGAATTATATATATATAGAAATCATATACTATATATAGAAATATATATGACATATAATATAGAAATATATTCAATAGAAAATATCTAGATCATAAGAAAACTATATATGAAATGCATTCTGAGCACATATATTATATAGATATATTTATTCATAGATAGAAGCAAATTATAAATATATATCATTATTTATATGTATATATATATGTATATATATATATCAGATATTCTTATATATATATATAGAAAATTTATAATATATAGAATTATATCGATTTATTTCTTATATGATAGAATTAATATTCTATATAAATAGAGTAATTCTTTTATATATATACTATATCATATCCTCGATATATATATAGAATGATCATTATATTTATCATCTTAGAATTATATATACGATATATAATATATTATATATAGTATTATATTTAATAGATACTATATCAGAATTATATATTATTATAGAATGATATATATAGATTAATTATCTACATATATATATAATCTATAAAATAGATATCATATATATATAACCTTATATCTCTATATAGATTATATAACTCATCTATAAAATTATCTATATTATAAAACTTCTATATAGAATTATATATCTCTCTCACATATATATATCTATATAGAGACTATCGAATTCTATATCTCTCTCGCCTTATACTTTCTCTACGCTTTCTCTATCTATATCGACTTATCGTCTTTCTATCGCCTTCCTCTAGCTAGACATTCTACATATATTCTCTCGCCTTCTCTCTATCTATCTCTCGCTATCTCTCTCTCTATATCATCTCTCTCTCTTCGCATTCTATCTCTCTCTCTCTCGTATCTCTTCTCTCTCGCCTTCTCTCTCTATCGCCTCTCTATCTCGCCTTCTCTCTCTCTCTCTAGCCTTCTCACGTCTCTCTCGCCTTCTATATCTCTCTCGCCTCTTCCTCTAGGCTTTTTCCTCTTCTCGTCTCTTCACTTCTCTATCTCCGCTTTCTCTCTCTCTCTATCTCTCTATGCATTCTCTCTTCTCTCGCCTTCTCTCGTCTCCTCGCTTCTCTCAATTCTCCTTCTCTAGCCTTAATCCTCCGACTTCTCTCCCTCTCGCCTGATAGCCACTATCGCGCTTCTCTCTCTCTAGACTTATACAATCGCTCGCCTTCTCTCTCTCTCTATCGACTCTCTCTTCTCTCTCTCTCTCTCCTCTATCTCCTCTCTCGCATTCTCTCTCTCTATCGCTCTCTCGCTTCATCTCGCTCTCTATGCCGTTCTCTCTCTCTCTCTCTCTCGAATTCTCTCTCGCTTCTCTCGTATCTCTCGCTTTCTCGCTCTCTGTGCCGTCTCATCTCTCTCTCGCGTCTCCTCTCTATCGCCTCCTCTCAACTAATCTAGCCTTCTCTCTCTCTCCTCGCCTTCTCTCTCTCCTCTCGCCTTATCGCTCTCTCTCTATCCCTTTCTGCTCTCTCTCGCCCTCTCTCTCTCTCGCCTTCTCTCTCGCTGTTCTCTTCTCTCTCTCTCTCACTTTTCTCGGGCTCTCTCATCGTCGCAGGCTGCTCTGTTCGCATCGCGCCTTTCGTTATCTAGCTCTCTTCGGCTACCACCACACAGCACGGGACACTCACACATCAGTTAATAGTAATACCTACGCGGCCCTCATCATTACTATCCATTAGACCACTACCACCCGTTAGAGACGAAGTACCACCAAAGGGACGCTACCACAGACTCAAGCATACTACGACCACGACCAGCAGCAGGACGGGGAAGACCAACCACGAGCAGAGACGACGAGACCCACGACAGCAGACGACGACGACCACGACAGCAGCAGACGACGACCCCACGACACCCAGCAGGACGACGGCCCGACAGCAGCAGGACGACGACCACGACAGCAGCAGGCGGACGACCACCACGACAGCACAGGACGACGACCACGACAGCAGCAGACGACGACCACGACAGCAGCAGGACGACGACACCACACAGCAGGACGACGACACCACGACAGAGCAGACGACGACCACCACGACAGCAGCAGGACGACGACACCACGACAGCAGGACGACGACGACCACGACAGCAGGACGACGACCACGACAGCGCAGGACGACGACCACACACAGCAGGACGACACCAACACGACAGCAGACAGGACATTACACACACACTACATCATCATTACTACCACACACAGAACATACACACTACATCATTACTAATAATACACTAAAATCATAATGACAACATACCACGACTCACCATTACTACTACCACTACCATCACCATTACTACTACCACTACTATTACCATCATTACTACCACTACTATTACCATCATTACTACCACTACCATCACCATTACTACTACCACCACTACCACTACCACCATCATTAAACTGCTTTCATTACTCTCTCTCACTGACTGACTCTCCCTCCTCCCCCTCCAGGTGAGAGCATGGCCCAGGCGGGCAGTATGAACGTGTCCCAGCACAGTGGCTTCCCAGACTTCCTGGACTCCCTGCCAGGGACCAACGTGGACCTGGGAACCCTGGAGGGAGCGGACCTCATCCCCATTCTTAACGATGTGGAGTCGGTCCTCAACAAGAGCGAGCCCTTCCTCACCTGGCTGTAAACACACACACACACACACATCTTCTACAAACATACACACGTATACACATACACACATGTACAACCCTGAACACGCAGACCAACACACAGGACGAAAGACTCCACATATCTAAAGACTCTTACTGTCTCTGCTGCCTTTTAGATACCTATTCAAATCAGCTTAGTCTCTTTTCCTCAGACTTCTCCATATGTACAGTGATATTACGCTCTGTTCGTCTGTCCACCCTCTGCCTGCCAGACCACCTATCAATCTGGTGGTCTGTAAGACGTATTAACCAAAGCCTTGAGAGAACAAAAACGAATCAAATCAAAACATGAATACTGTATTGGTAACAAAGTTAGTAGTTTTGTATGTTCTGTAAGACTCGCCCACCCTGGTTTTGGAATCACAATAGATGTAATTTTTTTTTACAGCTTCACTGTCTCTCTTGGGGTGACTCTCCTATGTGGAACAAGAAAAATAGATATAAAATAATTGGCCTCCAATGGTAATGCTTTGCCATGACAAAACGTATGCAGGGAGGCTTTTTTTTTTAACCAATAGGTGGAGCTATTGCTTAAGCTACTGTAGTTGTAATGAAATGGATCTTTACTGGCTACAAGGCTGTCCATATGTAGGTTCCTGGTATAAAGTGCAACTCTGTCGGCTACAGCACTGTAAACCTTCTTATCTAACAAATTATCTATCACCAACAGTATTTTAACTGTCAGTTTGGGTTTTAATTAAAAACCCACATTGTTACTGTTGTTTCTGTTCATAAAAACAAACTTCAGATTCACTTCTACATCAGCATTAGTAGCCATGAGAACAAAGAGTGTTGTATACCAAATAATGTTTCCTGTTGTTCGCTACAATGTCACTACAAAAGCTTTAAAACTTTAAAATTGTTCTGTTTGATTTTTAAACTGAACTGTTTTTAGTTTTTTTGTCATTTTAATAATTGTACTCCATTGTAGCTAATTGAACACTAAAAGCTCATGCCTCAGTTATGCAATGACGTAGAATTCTGTATTATAATACGTACACTTTTTATATCATACTATAGTATTCGTTTTTTTTTCTAATCTGTAAAATAGCCTAGATGGGTTCTTGCCATCTGGCGCCATTGTAGGACTTCTAATATAGACGTTGCATTTTTTTTTTGTATTGATTAAGAGCTATGATTCTATTTTTGTTATTTTGAAAAAAAATGAAATTGAGATTTCAAAGCACTACAAATCAGCAAGGGATTTAAAGATATCTGATCATGAAGTGAATGTTGAAGTTAGATGATCACCAGAAGCTCCCACTAGATGTTTTGTTTCAATATGCATTGAGGCTTGATAATCCTTCATAAACAAACTCTCTCCTTGGTCTTCTGTCTGTCTTTGGGCTTGCAAAGGACAATTATTTTTTCTAATATCTGTTCTGCGGGGAAATATGCAACAATAGTGTTTTATATGGCCTGAGATTATCGTGTCTATACGTTTAGAGGACTTTTAGTGAATTGTCAGATTGGATTGGCATGGGGTTGGCATTCTGATCTTGTTTTAACGTGCCAGACCCACAACACAATCTGCTATGATCTTTTTTTTTTCTTCTACATTTGTCTCAGTTTTTGTATTTGCATGTTGATTGACATATTTGCTATTCCTAGCATTAGGTGGTCTATAGCCCGACCTTATATTGGGACTATACTGAGTCTGGTTGCTGTGTAGAACGTTAGAACTAAGAAAGTGATGGATCCTGGGAAGGGGCAGGTGAATAGAGGAGGAGGTGTGGGGGTGGGGGGGTTGAGTTTAGGGAGGGTGAAGGGGGGTGTTCAACGCACGCCAAAACACTGCTTTTCAGCGCGCCGGGCCAACGCGACACACGGCATCCTAATGTCAAGGTGACGGGGTGAAGAGGGGTGTGAGAGGGGGCACACTGTCACCACTACCACCTGTGCCCTTGGAGTGGTGTGGATTGGGGGGAGAGGGTGTGGATTGGTTTCAGAGTTTGGAGGCCTCTATTACCCAAGCATGGCCAAAGAAGGCTAGCTCTGACAGGGCTAGCAACATGCTAACTCATGCCCAGGCCCAGCTGATGAAAAGGGCTCCAGCGAGAGGTGATGAGATCTTTTGAGAATCAGACAAGGTTAACTAGTCCGATCATACAGCTGCCTCTCTTGGTGTCTCTGTGTCAGGGAGGTTCCCTGTTTTGTGTTTTCGGTTGAATGACGTGCTGTTCCAGCTCTAATGACACAAGCCAGAGGAGCACTAAAGGGGGGGGACACTGGGCAGGGCTGTCTGTGCACCATTACCGGGGACACAATTCAAGGTTGCACCAGTTCGGGTGGACATAATTCAAGGTTGCACCATTATGAAGGGCACAAGTTTTAAATGTTTGAGAAAATGGACGATAGCATTTTTTTTATCAGATTGTCTTTTTGTAAATCTATACTTTGGGGGATATAAAGACCAGATGGAGAGATGGATTGATTCTGTGAGACCATAGGGGCATGAACGCAGTGGTGGCGTTATACCATTTAAAGGGTTTGAGGAAATGGTTTGGTGTGGAGCACACGTTTTTGACTAGAGGTGCATAGAGTGGTATGACATGGAATGGAATAGGCAGGATAACGCTGTAGCAATATATAGCGCAGTATAGCGCGTCGGTTAGGCTACGGCTGCACGGTAGGACGGGACGGGACGGGGGGGGGTGTGTTGTCAGTAGTTACAGGGTTCTTGGAATGTTGAAGGCATGCTCATTGGTTGTGAAAATCAAACTAACAAAATGGCCGTGTACTGTATCCTATCATGGCAGTGTGGACTTCCATTTTTACATGATGTAACCTCGGCAAGGAGTCTCTGAAAATTACAGTAATATGTTTAAAAAATATATTTTAAAAAATAATAATAAAATGGAGTCAGAACCATGGATCTTTGTGTTTTTTTTTTTATTGATGCCATTTATTACAGAAGCTCACTGTTGATCACTGATATCACAACAACCCACGGATCACACATAACCGTACATAGAACCAAAAATTACCTGAGAACATTATTACTCTCTAGGTAAAATAAGCTAGTATACAAAACAGCATACACCACCATTGTAATACAACTCCATACATCAGGGAGCAGTCTTATTACCCCCCCCCCCCCCCCCCCCCCAAGGCCAACTAGGTCTACCCAGAGCCATATATTTAGAAATGTATATAAAGTAGAAGTTCATTTAGATTTTTATTTATTTAGCCAGGATAGTCCACTCGGTAAACAACTTCCACTGTTTTCCAGAGAGTCCTGGGTTAACGTTCTAACGATAATGTAAATGCATAGCCCTGGTTCTACCATTTTTAGCATCTATATATGTAAATAGGGTTGGAGAAAGCTGCATTGCAGTGTTTGTATAATATAGTAGAACCAACGCCTCATAAAGTCACTGAAAACCCAACATGACAGACTCGTTAGTAACCCCGTGGCGGTACACTAAACATTGACACAGAGGAGGGAAGCTTGCCATGTCCCTCCATTAACAGGAACTAGCCAGAATAAAGTGATAAAATGACACCCACAAGCCTACTCCGATAAGACTGACGCAGGTGTGGCCCACCGTGTAGATACACAGTCATAAACCTACATGAAGGGGGTTTTTGTGTGTTTTTGAATATTGAAAATTATGTGCAATTAAAGAGAGAAAGAATTTATTGATTTAACTGATGCCAAGTGTTCTGTTGTCTTTTAAGGTACATCATATGGAATTATATGAAATGTTGAAAGTGCTTTCATGTTTTTAACGTATTGAATAAGAAGTTTGATTTAATTACATATTACCATTTAAAACATTACAAATAGAAATACTTAATGTGGCTCTTAAATGTCCTCGGCTGTCATGAGACCGGCCAGCAAGCTAAAGGCCAGCAAGCTAGTAAATGTCCTCTGCTGTCATGAGACCGGCCAGCAAGCTAAAGGCCAGCAAGCTAGGTAGGTTGGAAATGGTTGAAAAAACATTGTACAAATATTTAACAAAATCATATACACCTCGTAGAAAGCCAGTCAGTGTTGTTGTTGATATAAGAAGTCTTCGGTCTTCTTCTGAAAGGCGCACGGATCCTCAGACTGCACCGTCACTACTCTGAAAGACGAACACAGGACAATAACTTTACAAAAACCATTCAAATCAACTCTTACTCAAATACAAACCTATTTATACAGTGTATTAGTGTGTCAATCATGGATGAGCTAGTTGTTGCCAAGCTTACTGAAGTTCATGGAGTTCATGGTCAGATAACACATGGCTGAGAGGTCAGTGACACAGGTGGAAGAACAGGGTCTAGCCATTAGTGGAGGGGTGGGGGTAGGACTGGGACTGGGGCCGGGACTGGGCAGCTCCTGGTCTCTCATTGAATTCAATTAATTAAATCAGGTGTGTTCAACTGGAGAAAAATGTATACCAATTGGGCTAATGGGCTAGACTAGAGGTTGATTTGAGATGGGGTGTTTCAATCCAACAGGGTCTTCTTACCCCCCCCACAGCAGCCGCAGCAGTCTCCGCAGATGGCGCCGATGAGCCCGTTGATGACCTGGATGGCACAGAGCACAGCCTGCAGCAGACCCATGACCAGCAGCATAGAGAACAGAGTCAGGTGCCAGGTCACGATGCCCACAGGCATCATACAGCCCTCCCACAGGGTGTGGTTATTCAGGTAGTCACTGGTGGAGAACAGAGAGTTCAGGAAAAAGTTTAATAAGACTCGGCACACTGCAATGTGTCAAAACATGAACAATGTGTTACCAACAATGTGTCAAAACATGAACAATGTGTTACCAACAATGTGTCAAAACATGAACAATGTGTTACCAACAATGTGTCAAAACATGAACAATGTGTTACCAACAATGTGTCAAAACATGAACAATGTGTTACCAACAATGTGTCAAAACATGAACAATGTGTTACCAACAATGTGTTAAAACATGAACAATGTGTTACCAACAATGTGTTACCAACAATGTGTCAAAACATGAACAATGTGTTACCAACAATGTGTTAAAACATGAACAATGTGTTACCAACAATGTGTTACCAACAATGTGTCAAAACATGAACAATGTGTTACCAACAATGTGTTTGAGTGGTAAAACGGTTCTTACCCGTTAACAAAGGGGTTGGTCCACGAAGGGATTGACTCTGCTGTGCCATTGGTGTAGAAACATTTGGGTCCATTATGAATGGCAACAGCAGACACGATGAAGGAGTAGCCGGCCCCCAGAACCCCCACCGCAGCGAAGATGATAGAGGTGAACATCTGAGGAGAAGAAACTGATCATAGTTACAGAGGTCCAATTCAATGAATCAATCTGGGTACTGAACCCAGTCTATCCAAGACAAGTGACTCAATAAGACCATGTTAGTCCACTGAGTTGAAACCTGTGATAGGAAGGACTAAACACTAATCTTCAGGGTTCATACTGTTAGTGGGATGGACTTCAGGGCCTGTATATAGCGTTTCAAAGTAGGAGTGCTGATACGGGCCCAGGTCTCATACCAGGATCAGCTTGATACTGTATTTCAGCAAGAGTTATTTCCTTGAACCAACCAACGCAACATTGGACAAGAGATCAATTGATCCTTTTGCCCAGAATCAGTTGAAAGCAACAGCACCCTCCTACAATGCAGTATGGTACCAGTGTGAGATGAAATGATACTATTGATCAAGTGGTAAGAGAGCTAAATACCTGCTCTTTGTTTTTCCTGTCTGCTGGCCACCAGTATAATGGGGGCTCTGTCCCGAGGAGGCATGGGAAAACGCTAGTTGAACTCCCTGCTTTGGGGCGATCAAAATCTATGTGTTATATCTACTGTGTGTGTGTGTGTGTGTGTGTGTGTGTGTGTGAGACCTACAATTATGGTGCACTGCTTTGGATGCCCTGTGCTTTAAGGGGAAATTCTGATCCGAGTTAAGCGTGCGTAAATGGAACATAGATCCCTTTTTTATGTTATTTTCTCTCTACGCGTGTTCTGACCTTGAACTTAACCATTAGAATAGCATGCTATTGATTTATTGGGGGTGGGGATCAAATAAATGAAGGTGTGGTGGAGGTGTGTCAAATCTACCGAGTTGATTTATGATTTCTAGAACGTTTTAATTATATGCCCTAGACTTTTCACTGTATATTTCACCATTTTGTATCCTGTTAAATATTGGCCACTATCGGTATCCACTGTCAGTTATACCCACATACATTTATAACTGTCACTTTAGTGTTAGTTTCCTTCGATTTTGCATCATTCCATTCCATTGTTAGTTTGTTCCTGAGGATCGCTAGCATTAGTGGATCATATTAGGCGAACAAGTTGCGCAACGATTTGGGACATGTAGCCTATTTGAATCATTATGGAACTCAGACCACACGTAGCAGTTTAAACCTGGAGCCTGGCGCACGGTTCACGACGACTGGACCGCTGTCATCACACTTCCATGATTAGTGAGGATTATTAGGGTAGATTTATAGGACTACTGTTCAACCCCTATTGTACACACTTCTCACTTTCCAATATTTAATGGATTGAACAATTGAACATGGTAACTTTCAGGATGAATCAAACCACTGTATTTTTGATTCACAAATATTTTTTGTGCGTGAGGCGCTCCAAACCTGTTTTTTTATTATGCTTTCCTAACCCTAAATAATAATAATATACAAGATCAGAGTAATTTTTTTATCTACCAATTGGCGCTGAAAAGGAGACGAATATTCATTTATTTACATGGCTTTCTGTCATTGATCCCTAATATTCTGAACCGTTCTCTCCATAATCTAGTGAGTATATCGTGAAGGAACACCATATTTAAAGAGATGGTTTTAGATAAAATCCACGAGAAAATCTGTTGGCCAGCAAGTGGGAGGGTTTTCAGCTGTTGAATAAAATGTATTCAGTGTGAAAGTGAACCACGCTTGCAAAGGCCATTATGCACCTGTATAAGATACGTTTGAATGCCAACTACTGAGAAGTGCGTAGGACAGGCTTACGTTTCCCTAAGTCTGACTCGGGCCCTTAACTAAACAAAACACCTACAGTATATAGGAAAGCTGCTATGGATCTTTTTGTCCCTATGTACTCACCGCAAATCTCTTTCCACAACTCTCGTTGCCACAGCAACCGCAGCAGTCATTGTTTTTGAGCCCCAGGAAGACCAGCGCTGGGAAGATCATCTGCTCAGAAAGAGATACAGCACACAACCATTAGGATCAGACCGCAACCAGATACACAACCATTAGGATACACAACTATTGGACAGAAAGACATCATACTACCCACAACCATTAGGATAATACCATTAAAACTGAGACTACTGTTTGGCTTTAGAAGCAGAAACAAACTGGTATAATGGACAAGACTTCCACAAAGGCTTTCATTTTGATTATTTCATTGCACCTCATAAAGTATTATACAGTTATAATAGATTCCATCTGTCCCACTCCTGACCTCTCAATCAATATCATGATCTCTCAATTAATATCCTGACCTCTCAATGAATATCCTGACCTCTCAATCAATATCCTGACCTCTCAATGAATATCCTGACCTCTCAATCAATATCCTGACCTCTCAATCAATATCCGAAGCCTAGATTGTCCAGTAGGAAACAAAGCTTTTTAAAAGGGCCATCCATCTCACTAAAGCCATCCTGTCATGGAGACAGCCTCTAGGTCAGTAACTACACCTGTATGTGCCTAACGTCTGTTCACCTGTTTTCTGATAGACTCAATCCAATATTTCTACTTTTCTATGTTTCTCCACATGTTGAATAGAGACGTTCAAATACAACCGTTGAAATGAGACATTTTGGACGTTAGAGAGTTACAGTATTAGAAGTTATCAAAAGGCCTTTTCCACTCCCCGGTAACAGATGACTCACCATAACACCAGATCCTATGATGCCCCCAAAGTACCACACCTCTTCGGTGATGTGGCCATTGTCTTCTGCCACCAGCCCCCCAGGGAACAAGAGCAGGATGTTGCAGAGAACACACAGGATGGCCAGCGGGATCAAGGTGATACCCAGACACTTGGCAAAGCTACCCGAACACATGGTTGATGGTTCACAATCGCCTCAGCAGCTAAAACAGTCACACAACACAGAGCCAAGAGAGGTTCTCTAAAAGTCCAAAGGGCTCCCACACAAACTCGTACACGCCTAAAGTGTACCGTAGGTTCCTATATAGGACTATAACCTCCCTGTCCAGAACCACCAAACGGTCTCAGTCCCTCAGATTGGGGAGGGGTGTATATATATATATACACCACTGGCTGGATGATGATGTCATGATGACACTGCCTTAAATTGAATTTACAGCCGTTGTGCCATGGCAACCATCTGGTCCGGTTAATATTCTACTTCACGATTTGCCTGCCTGGTCCCAGCCCTGACGGAGAGCGCGACTGGGGTTATTGAACACACCGGCGACCTATTGGAGTCCATTGATGATGAAAACGTTAATCTATGTATGTTGTGTCAATTGACTCTATGTATTTATGTGGAAGCAGCACTCTCTACTTGTCCAAAGTCCAAATTTCCCCCTCGGGGGACAATAAATTAAATCATATCATATCCCACTGGGTTATCAATGGGAGTATGTACCTGCTACTTTATGGTGCTCCATTTTACTCAGTCAATGTTTTAGTGAAACACCTGTGAAGCTTCTCATAATCTGACATGACATGATTTCCATAAGGTATCATAAAGAGTGAAAACCACGCCAATACAATACAAAATAACTTTTTCCTTTACAGTTTTATTCATATTTAGGCTTGTATTAGTCCACAATATTTATACAGTCTGAAAACAACATTGCAAGCAGTATTTTGTGTACTATTAGATTGATCATGTATAAGGCTACAGGGTAAATGTATGTTTAGCCAATAGAGAATGTGATAACATAACTGGACAATCAGTATAGAGACAATACACTAAATATCCTTGGCCCTTTAGCCCTTTACCAGGCCATATCTGTTGGTGAGTAGACATTCACTTTGGTCTTCTTTCATTTAGTTGATAAACTGTTATGTAGACCTACCACACACTGCTACTTGACATGATCATCACACAACGAAAAGAAAAACTACAATTTAATGCAATGCACTGCTCGTGGATGTGATCTGTAATCCATCCACCCAATCCCGGATCAATCGTGCACCGATTAATCGATCAGGAAGCAGTCACACAAAGTAGCAAAAATAGTGTGGAATAATATCGGATTATTCATATGATATTTAGATTATTAAATCATATTTGAGTGACGGTATGACACAGGGAAACATACTGTAGGCCTAACTGAGCATGCTCCCAACCCATATGACTGAACTTTGCACAGTGCGTTGCGTTTCATAGAGGAAACGTTGTAGAAAATTGTATCACCTGCTGTTTGTTAACATGGCTGCGTGGCATCAAGACAACCGGGCCGGTTCCAGGGTTCCAGGTTTCCAGGTTTCCAGGTTTCCAGGGTTCCAGGTTTCCAGGTTTCCAGGGTTCCAGGTTTCCAGGGTTCCAGGGTTCCAGGTTTCCAGGGTTCCAGGGTTCCAGGTTTCCAGGGTTCCAGGTTTCCAGGGTTCCAGGGTTCCAGGTTTCCAGGGTTCCAGGTTTCCAGGGTCCCAGGTTTCCAGGGTTACAGGGTTCCAGGGTTCCAGGTTTCCAGGTTTCCAGGGTTCCAGGGTTCCAGGTTTCCAGGGTTCCAGGGTTCCAGGTTTCCAGGGTTCCAGGGTTCCAGGTTTTCAGGGTTCCAGGGTTCCAGGTTTCCAGGGTTCCAGGGTTCCAGGCATAAAGCGACATAAGCGGTTGCTTAGGGCCCCCGGAGAATAGTAGAATACACCAGGTGCAATTTCATATTTTTTTCCCCTAAGTTTCTAAGTTATTTTTCCGACATTTAGAAAGTTTGCATAGAAAATAGATGCGACAACTGCCTGCTATGGTGCATTTCCATGTAACTATCTTGTGTCTATTAAAACGTCTGGACGTAATGACATCACACCTAAAATAATAAAAAACGACAGTGTATAATACAAATTTACATTTTACATTTTACATTTTGGTGGTTGAAGTGTTTCCATTACCCATCAGGCCTTTCTGCCCTCCCACCTATCTGTTTCATGTCTCAGGTAGCCCGTTAAACCCAGCATGGATAGAATGCAATAATTGGATAATATTTACCATATTCTAATCATTCTCATTTGCCAACGTATCGCTACGGTCCGCGCCATGGTGAAACTTGCACTCCTGTAGATCTGAAATAATTGGATGGTGAAACTTGCATCCAGCCAACCAGAAGAGCAAGGCGAAGCAATTCAGGCATTTTTGAAATAAAAATACCCTGACTGGGCACTCAGGGTACGTATCCAGGGGTCCTGACCTCCAGGGGCCCTGACCTCCAGGGGCCCTGACCTCCAGGGGCCCTGACCTCCAGGGGTCCTGACCTCCAGGGGCCCCCCATTGATTTTGTTAGTCATTCTCACTCAGATGTCATATTAATATGGCATAAGTCATTACAAAATGTGTAGAATTGCAGGAAATTAGCTTAAAACTGCAAAACATTATATCCACCCCATGCAAAATGTGTACAATGGCAGGAAATTAGCTGTAAACCTGCAAAGAAATATCTCTGCCCCATGGCAACACTTGTAGAATTGCATGAAATTTGTTCATAAAATTGCATTTTCCTCTCCACCCCATGGCAAAATGTGTAGAATCGCAGAAAACTTGCTTTAAAACGGCTATATTTTCTCTACACCCCATGGCAAAATGCGTAGAATCATAGGAAATACAATTAGCTGTAGCTCAATTGGTAGAGCATGGCGCTTGTAACGCCAGGGTAGTGGGTTTGATCCCCGGGACCACCCATACGTAAAAATGTATGCACACATGACTGTAAGTCGCTTTAGATAAAAGCATCTGCTAAATGGCATATTATTATAAATGTACATTTTTCTCTCCACGTCGGTCTGTGTGAGTGTGAGCTCTGGGCAAAGGCATTACTGGACCAGAGCTAAGGTAGTGTGTTGGTGTAGGCCTATGAGGAAATTATTATCAAAATTTGCACATTTTGTTTTACTTGTTGTTTGATGTTTGTATATACAGCGCATTCGTAAAGTATTCAGATCCCTTGACTTTTTCCACATTTTGTTACGTTATAGCCTTATTCTAAAATTGATTAAATAAATTAAAATCCTCATCAATCTACACACAAAACCCCATAGTGACAAAGCGAAAACAGGTTTTTAGACATTTTTGCAAATTTATAAAAAATGAAAAACAAAAATACCTTATTCACATAAGTATTCAGACCCTTTGCTATGAGACTCGAAATTTAGCCCAGGTGCATCTTGTTTCCATTGATCCTCCTTGAGATCTTTCTACAACTTGATTGGAGTACACCTGTGGTAAATTCAATTGATTGGACATGATTTGGAAAGGCACACACCTGTCTATATAAGGTCCCACAGTTGACAGTGCATGTCAGAGCAAAAACCAAGCCATGAGGTCGAAGGAATTGTCCGTAGAGCTCTGAGACAGGATTGTGTCGAGGCACAGATCTGGGGAAGGGTACCTAAACATTTCTACAGCATTGAATGTCCCCAATTACCCAGTGGCCTCCATCATTCTTAAACGGAAGAAGTTTGGAACCACCAAGATTCTTCCTGGAGCTGGCCGCCCAGCCAAACTGAGCAATCAGGGGAGAAGGGCCTTGGTCAGGGAGGTGACCAAGAACCCGACAGTCACTCTGACAGTGCTCCAGAGTTCCTCTGTGGAGATGGGAGAAACTTCCAGAAGGCCAACCATCTCTTCAGGACTCCACCAATCAGGCCTTTATGTTAGAGTGGCCAGACGGAAGCCACTCCTCAGTAAAAGGCACATGAAATCCCGGTTGGAGTTTGCCAAAAGGCACCTAAAGACTCTCAGACCATGAGAAACAAGATTCTCTCGTCTGATGAAACCAAGATTGAACTCTTTGGCCTGAATACCAAGCGTCACGTCTGGAGGAAACCTGGCACCATCCCTATGGTGAAGCATGGTGGTGGCAGTATCATGCTGTGGGGATGTTTTTCAGCGGCAGGGACTGGGAGACTAGTCAAGATCGAGGCAAAGATGAACGGCGCAAAGTACAGAGAGATCCTTGATGAAAACCTGCTCCAGAGCGCTCAGGACCTCAGACTGGGGTGAAGGTTCACTTTCCAACAGGACAACGACCCTAAGCACACAGCCAAGACAACGCAGGAGTGGCTTCGGGACAAGTCTCTGAATGTCCTTGAGTGGCCCAGCCAGAGCCTGGACTTGAACCCGATCTAACATCTCTGGAGAGACCTGAAAATAGCTGTGCAGCGACGCTCCCCATCCAACCTGACAGAGCTTGAGAGGATCTGCAGAGAAGAATGGGAGAAACTGCCCAAATACAGGTGTGCCAAGCTTGTAGCGTCATACCCTAGAAGACTAGAGGCTGTAATCGCTGCCAAAGGTGCTTCAACAAAGTACTGAGTAAAGGGTCAGAATACTTATGTAAATGTGATATTTCAGTTTTTTATTTTAAATAAATTAGCAAACATTTCTAAAAACCTGGTTTTGCTTTGTCATTATGGGGTACTGTGTGTAGATTGATGAGGGGGGAAAAAACTATTTAATCCATTTTAGAATAAGGCTGTAACGTAACAAAATGTGGAAAAAGTCAAGGGGTCTGAATGCTTTCCGAATGCACTGTAACTTAAATAACACTTAAAATCACAATTTTATGCTTTAAAAGATACTTGAATCTGAGACGTGTCCCGGCTGGACCTGACATTGTTTTGTAGTATCCTCACAGACATCCTGAAGAGATGACAGAATGCTGCTGATGCTGCCGTGGCTGAAGCCACGCCCCTGGCCGTGACACAACCATACAGCATCAGGATCGGCGGGGACAGTCTCTTCTGTGGCACAAGCACCGGACAGGTGGGCGGCCTGAAGGGCAGGTTGAGGGCTACTTAAGTGTCCCTCGTCCCTAGGCAGACACGTTGTCTCCCACATAGATACACACACAGTGCTAGCTCTGCGATTTCTGACACTACTTCTACTTTGAGATATTTTCATCAGCCGGGATGGGACTGAAGGGCAGGTTGAGGGCTACTTAAGTGTCCCTCGTCCCTAGGCAGACACGTTGTCTCCCACATAGATACACACACAGTGCTAGCTCTGCGATTTCTGACACTACTTCTACTTTGAGATATTTTCATC